TCAGTGCTATTCATTTAATGGAATAAGGTCTAGGAAGCTTCACAGAGGGATTCTTTAAAGAGAGTTTCTCTCTACAGATTCCGTCCCAGGAGTCTGGGGAAAGGACAACTGAAAAAAAAAAGTTATTGAATAGCATTAAGTGTTTATCCAGCTAGTGGCAGAAGGCAAGGGACAGATCTGTCAGCTAGACTAGAAAGGGTTGATCTACATAAGAGAAACCAGAATTGGCTTCTTAAACAGAAAAAATCTAAATTTTCAAGGAAAAAGAAAATATCTCTTTATCTCAAAACCTATAAATAGATACAAAAATACTCCCAGCCTTGCTATGCTTCTATGAATTCGATCAATAATAATTAAAAAAAAAACAAAAACAAACAAAAAACACCACCAAGATTTAGCTAATAGGTCTTCCTTTAAATTTAAAGATATTTTATTCTGACAAAGGGAGGTGAAGTTCCTGGTAACAAAGAAAGTAACTCTGAAAAAAAAGACAGGAGGAAATGAACAACCCAATCCATGCTGGAAAGCTATTTGTGGAACTCGGAGAGTACAAAGTTAACATTGCATCCTGGAGAAGAGGGTAAGTCTTCATATATAAGATTCCTTGTTCTTGGTTAAGAACAGAGTTCAGCTTTAAGGTCCATATCATATACATTTGCAGAGTTGGTTTCTAATAAGTTAAGACATAACAAAAAGTTTGACTTAGCCTTAACTACAAAAAGCAAGCCTAATGTTTAATTGCTGTTGTTTGCCAAATTGCCAGGTGATCCCATAAACTGGTTGAGGATAGGATCCTGCAGGGCACAACAGATGTGCTTTAGAAAGCAAATGAAAAAAAGCCGCACAAAAGGTCTGTGAAATAATAACTAAATGGACAGTTGGAGTTGCTGTGGCAGGCAGTACAGCCTGTGACAGTTCTAGAAAATCCCCAAGAGTTTCATGAGCAGAAGCTTCGTCCCAGATCTTCAAGACAGATTTTATATCTCCTGAGATCAGACCACAAGGTCCATGGAAGATAAAGACTTTGATCTTGAACTTGTCTTCGTGGTCACAAGTTTTCAGAAAAATTTTCATTTGCTCATACAGTGATGTTGCTGAGGAGAAAATGGCCTACCGGTTTCTGTTCTGAGTGAATTTGTTTTGAGGACAGATAGCTTCATATCCAGATATATAGTCCAGACTGGTAGCAGTGGCATTTATAACAGTGGGCAGATCTGCCAGGATGAGACAGATTCACCTATCCAATCACAGATGGTAGAAAACATTACTCACAGATGCTGCTGTATGAGAGCTTGGCTTCGGCAGGGAGTCAGGAGCACTTGCAAAAATTGATTTTATTAGCTACCGTGCATTTCTCCCCAGGCTGATTTACTGTATGCTAGAAGGAGGATGAAAAAGGGAAAAAATAAGCATCTTCCTCTGAAAGAAGAATCATATATTTGATTGTAAGGAGCCTCAGTTGCTCATGACTTTCTTTTGTCAGACAGACAAATTGTTGGATTCACAAGATCTGAGTCAAGACTCCTTCAGTGCATCTGGTGTTTCCCAAGGAGTGAATGTACTGAACTTAAGGAGCGCTGGTGGGTGGGAGTGATTGCTGGGGAGAGGGAAAGCTGGGCTTCCTGAGGGTGGACGGGGCGGGGGGGAGATCAGCAAGCCTTTTGGAATTGCTGCTGGTGATATACCAACAGCATTTCTCAGAGTAAATTTATATTAGGGCAAACTGCTAGTCACTGGCAGAAGTAAAAAATAATTGAATCTCAGTGTCTCATTCTGAAAAGCTAGCATTTTGGTGAAGAGCTGTGCTTCAGAGCTGCATTACTGCAATCGTTTTGCCAAGGACAGAGCAGGGTTATGATGGGTGTGTGAGGTAGCTTCAGGAGCCCTGCTTTCAGCCCACTCCCCCTGCATGCAGCATTGGTAGGGCTGTGTTTTTTACAGAGCTCATTACAGTAGCACAGATCGCTTCCTCAGGTTATCTTAGGGGCTGTGTTTTGCTTGCCTTCCTCCTGGCTGTCTGACAGAAGTAAGGGATGAATAATACCTGCTGCCAGTGACAGCTGCTGTTATGCACCTCTTCCCTTCTGTCCGGAAAAGGGCCATTCACAATGTAACGCAGGAAAAAATGCTCCAAGAGGCAGCCAAGGACGATCTCCACCGTTTGCTGGATTTCTGTTTTTATTTCTTCCAATAATTACCTGCCCCCAAAAAAGGGTACCAAACCTACGTGTGAACTAAAATATGAATATTGACCTGCAGTAGTGCAAGGTCAGGTACAAATAAAAGATGCACAAGAGCAAGGAAGAGCGGTTAGCTTTCTGTGATCCCGAATAGGAAGTGTTAATATGAGATTTCTTTTGACCCTGTTAGTGAGTGGATTATCAGTATTACTGCTTTTACTAGTATCCTTTCACTCTTTTGCTTCTGGCATTGCTGTGGCGGTTTGATTAATATCGCCAGGTGTTGGTAAAATCTGCATCTAATGCAACCCTCCTTTCAATATCAATGTAGTCCATATAAATTTAGAATACAGTGGGCTAGTTATCTCATGTTTTGCCTGTCCTAGGTAAAATGTTCACTGTTTTTTTAGAAAGATAGGGCATCATTACTGATGTTTTGGGTGTTTTTTACAAGGAACTTTTATTGGTCAGTAGAGCAGAGGGAAATGTTTCTGGCAGATTCTGTTCATATAGCTTTAAGTTTCTCAAATGCATATTTTTAGCTCAAGTTAATTGTCTTCACACCCTCATGGTGGGGAGCAGGGGGAAGGGAAGGACACATTTCAGAACACTAACTTCTCTGGTCCTAAAGTGTACCCAAGATAGGTGGGATGAATTGTCCTTTGAAGGTTTCTGTCTCTGCCCACTGGCTACCGAGAGAGGCTAGACACATAATGGTTAAACAGCCAACTTCAGTAAAATAAACCTCATCAATTACAAAGAAAGACCAACTAAAATATGCCAATATAACAAATTACCTAGCCACTTAAGAGGGAGAAAAATAAATTTGCCTTGAGGTGTCTAAATTTCATCTAAATCCAAATTCTCTTTAGACTTGATTCCCCATGGTTTTCTCTCCTATGTCTCCACTCATGCTAGGAGCAGCACTAGGTATGTTTCACCCAAGTCCTATTTAGAGGCATTCAAAAAGAGATTAAAAATGCATGGGCTTTTTCTACAGAGGGTAACCTCAGTGATTAACAGTCCTTTTTCAACTTTGACTGTAACTTAGTAAATGACTAAAAGGTTAGACATAGTTATGTTTTCTCACAGAACATGAGGGACCAAGCTGTGTCTGAGAATCTTTGCTTAATATCTGCTTTCCTTTTAGCTTAATGAGGAAACACAGCGCAACAGTCTTCCTCCCCCTGCACCTCCCACCAAGACACCTTTTCCTTGCAAAGTTCTCCTTGCCAAACCATCCAGCAGTGAGACATACCACCACGAAAGCTGCACCTTTCCCCTTCATCCTTCCTCTCCAGCATGCCTGTGCTATCTCTGATGAGATGGATGTGCTGCTGCAAACATGTGGAAAGCATAATTTTTCTGGTTCTTTGTGATGGTGGGAGCTACATGGATTTAAATAACTGGTCTCAGGAAATGAAAATAATGCATCAAGTCCTTTAAGTCATTCTGATTGCTATCCTTAGTTCCACACTTAGTTTACTCCAAATGATTTATAAAATAAACTAGAAGATTAACAAAGAGCTGCACACAATATCGCAGAAAAATCTTTCAAAATAAAGAATGTATCTCACTGACTAATATGAAAAACAAAGTTTTTAAAGTTCCTCTTACATTATTTCAAATTGTCTTCATTTTTGTCATTTCCTTAAGCTTGATAGGAATTCAATGCAAATACAATTTATTCTAGGCAGGAATACCAGCCTTGCCTGTATTAAGATTAGCTGACAGTTCTGGCTTTGTAATGCGTTTTCAAAATCCTAACAAGTTTATCAAATTGAACTGAAATAATGACAACTTTATTAAGCTGCTCAGGCTTAATATTTTATAATATTTCATTTGGATTAAACCAACTGTTTCTGAGAACCAAAGCTAGGGAAAAATATGTGGGTTTTGTCTATGTTAAAACAATTTGGCAATATCTTTTGAATATTGGATGAGTGTTCATTAGTAATAGAAGCATATACTAATTTAAAAAACATGAACATAGGCACAAGAGGACTGACATAAAGTTAATTGAAGCCTGATATTTGAACGTTTACAACTTTGCAACTGAAATAATGTACTTGCAGTGTATTTTTCCTGTGTTGCTATATGTATAACAGTAGAAATAATATAAGGATTGCATGCAGCTATACGAGACTGTAGTATGTGGTTTGGATTGTTCTTTTTATTAGCAAATCTAGTTTTCTTTTTTGAACCTAAAACATGTTTTAAGTTGCATGTGTATAAAAGCCTCTAACTTTTGTAATATAGAGAAAATGCATCATCCCTTTCTGCTCCCTGGGCAACAGAGGCAAATGTTAAACATGCACACACAAACCCTCAAAAATGAACTTATTTTTTAATACCTTGCAAGTGTATTTTCCACATCCAAGAAGGTTATGAAAAAGTGAACACTGTAAATCTTAGTGAAAACTAAATTCCTTCTTAACTCCTGCTGCTGTGTGAGATGTAATGAACATTTTTCCACATTTGCATACAGAAACACAATAGTGGCTCTCTAGAATATATTTTTTTTCATTTTCAGGAGTTAACATTAAACCTGGACTTCAGTATTAATATTTAAGAGTCCTCTCAGTTTCTTTTGACAAGTCAGAATGCACTTTAGATAATTCTAATAAACATGAAACAAATTAAAATAATTTTGTGTCTTCATCTCTTGATATTTCTGAAACTTTTCTTTGTTCATTGTTAAAAGAACTTTTTATTAGAACCTGTGTTTTTCTCCCTATGTAGGAATAAAACTGTACAGGGATCTATCTGTGGCTCATGGGAATCTCCTCCCTTTTTTTTTCTTTTTTTTTGTCTCTCCAGATCATTAAAGACCAGAAGCTACTGGTGATAGTTGGAGGGATGCTACTGATTGATCTTTGCATCTTGATTTGCTGGCAGGTTGTGGATCCTTTGAGAAGGACAGTGGAAAAGTATAACATGGAGGTATGTCCTCAAGCCCAAGTAACACTTATGGTTGCATATCAGTATCTACAGCTTTCTGTAAGACCAAGCTAAAGATTCACTAGTTCATATGAAAGCAGGTCAAGCTGTGTATCTGGGGGGACAAGGGTTCTGTTTTTTAAAAGCAAATAGAAATGAAATAACTGCAACCAAAAGAAATTGTATTTGTAGTTGAAGGTGCCACATTTCTGTCACTTGTGGCAGATTTTAGATGAAAGTGTTGTAAACACAGGAGAGTCCTCTGCTAAGACTCTCTATCAGAGTCTGTTGCAATAAATAATAGATTATCAGAACCCATTAGCAGATTTCAGTAAGAGCTTTATTCAAGATAAGTGCAAGAGAGGTCACTGCTTAGACTGCATTCTTTGTGGAGATGTTCAGGAATTATGTTACCTACGGCTATATTTTCAGTAATAGTGTGTGCATATGCGCATACTGATTGTTCCTATTTTAATGTCATTCCCAGAAAGGTCATGCTAGATATTTTGATAGGGAGGAGGTAACAGCTTAAGGCCCCTTGTATAAATTTTCCAGCATTCTGGTAGGTTTCTAGAAGTAGAGCTTTCTGGACAAACGGACAGCAATAAACATGGCAGCAACAATGCAGAACTAGGAAAAAAAATTCTATCTGTGTGCAGATTAGCAGTGTTTGAGAGTTTATTACCTCTAACATGGAAACTGGTGATATCTGAAAACTAGATTGTATGAGGACAATCTAGAAGTGTTATTCTATTCTCCATTGCTTGGCAATCAGTAAGAAAAAGAATGGTAGTTTTCTCTTCTGATGTTAACCTTTACAAGAAAAGATATATTTTATTCCATTGTTTTTACTTTGTTCTTACTTTGCAGTGTAGCTCTGGAATTTTATTAGGAGAAGATTTTACTGTTTATTTGAATATAATTTGTAGAAGATATCTTAGAATGATGCCTCCTAAACTGCAAGGGATGCCTTTCAAGAAATCATTTTAGAGTCTGAAAAGATACCTCTCAGTTGCTCCCTAGAGTTCGAACTTTTTTTTTAAGAGACTCCCCAGTTATTACAGTTGTCAATAAAAAATGGAGAATGAAACTGAAATTTGTCTTGTGGAGACACTTCTGCTCTGTGTTTGTAGAGCTTGAAACAATAGCAGCTTGTCGATAGCCTTGTTTACTTCATTTCGTTCCAACTGCATTGCAACTGATATTTCAATTATCAGTGTTGTTAACTATTTCACTGCTCATATAAAACCAAACATAGTATGATGAGTAGTCACAAAATCCAATTGAAATAATACTTATTTCAGTGCTGTGGTTGAATGAGTTAGAAGGACTTTTACTTTTTTTCCTGATCAGAGGGAAGCCATAACTAAAGATCCTGATATCTGGTCTTAGCAAAATAACTCAAGTGAAATTTCCGTACGGAGCAGCAGTGAATGTGATGTTATCAAACCATAAATATCAGATATTTGAAAAATAATGTTTATTGCCGTTTTAAATTATTGCAATTTTAATCTGAACTTATCAGTGTATATTCTTTGGTTGTGTAATGTATACCACTTAAATCTTAGTGTGCTTGTTCGATGTTCGGTGCTATCTAGACCACGGGGCTGCACACCAGTTGCCTGAACTTTGTATCAGAACTGGAATTCTCTGGAAACTATGTAAGCCTATGCAATCTCACATTCCCTGAATGCACACACGAGAATGTATAATATTTTGAACACTCAGCACAGAATTGACTTAAACTTGCTGTTAGAGCTCTTTGCTATTATGATAAGTTGTGCAGAATGGTTTTTTTTAAGCTAATGGATTTGTGGAGGGAAGGAAATGAAACTATTACGCAAGCAAATTTGGTCATTAAAATACTTTACATATATTTTTATCTTATATAAGCAGTGAGGTGAACTGCAATTTGCTTTCCTGAAGCAGACCTCCTTGGTTCTCAGAAACTCCTTTGTAAAAGAAAATGACAATTATATTTGCTTTTTTTTAAAATTATTTTAGTTTGCTTTTTTAATTTTAGATATTTTAAATCCATTCTGCAATGATGAATTCTTTAGTTGAGCTTGCCTGAGCCGGTATTATCTTTTGGGTGTTTGAAAAGTACTTATCACATAGTAAACACTACTGGAGGCAAGTTTCTGTTTTATTTCAGGAATATTGTGTCATGTATATTCCTTGTCCCACTTACTTCTATGAAATAATTTTAAAGGGATATTTTGTCACAGTTAAAGTTGATCCCAGTGATAGAGACTAAACTAAACGTAGGCTCCAAAGTTATGAATGCAGTCAGTCAGTCTAGCTAATGAACCATTTGAGTGTTGTTTTAACTATGAATACTCATCAGCTTCCTATGTGAAAGTTCTGCATTTGGCCACTATCAGGTGGTCCTCTGTCAACTGTGTCTTCATAAACATGTCAATCAAAGTAACCAAGACAAGGAGCCTAAAAACTGACGGTGTCCTTTGCTGTTTGGCATTATTCACAAAACAGTTCATTTGAATACCAACACCAGCAAATTATCAAGCACTTTTTAAAAATCCAGACTCCTTTTCTGGAGCTGTTTGTAAAGTCAAGGTATCCATGCCTTAAAAGCTGAGGATGGGCAGTCTACATCTAAAAATACAAAGGGAAGTGAAGGCGCTTGTGGTGACTCTCCGCCCCTGACTGAAGGAAGAAATCCAATCGGATATCGGGTCTGTCGATTTTCAGACTGGCCTCTGGTATCCCGAGCCTGGATGTCAGGTTTCCTTATGAAAAGCACATCTATGACTGCCATAAGAAATCATGGTAAAAGCTTTAATGACTGAGCCCTAAAACATCCAGATCGTCCAAACATCAGCAGGGCAGTTTTTTCGTATATGATATGTAGCCAACAAAATCATTGGATAAAAGCAAACAGGTTAAGATAAAGGCAGGGACCACTTTAAAATTGTAGCTGTACGCTGATCTCTGACAGAAGAACTGTAAGGTTTCCCCTACATACGCTTCGTACAGAGTACTGTAGGATTGATTCTCACATAACACAAAAGCATTTTCTGAACACAAAATACTTCTCAACTTCAAGCAGCAGTGTAAAAAATGGGAATTAATCTATAACATTACCTCTACTCATCTGTTTTGCTTGTTGTATCAGCTGTAATATTTCTCCTTTTGCTAATGTTTCAGACCAGTGAAGAGACCAATTGCTTTTTTTCTCACTAGCTTCTTCCCAGGCTGAACTTGGAATTTGCTTTTTTCATCGTAATTCACCTTTTTTGTCATAATCAAAATGCTCTGCGGATATGATCTGGTCTTGACTAGGGTCCTGCCAGACTAAGTTTCTCCTGGTTGTGTGAACTGGAGTGCATCCTCTCTCACCGTCCCTCTGGATGGGTTCTTGGGCTCGACAGGCCATGAGGAATTACAGTGCTTCTGTGTATGCGGCTGTGGAAGAGCTTTACCCCAGTGGCAAGGCTCTACCACCTTTTTCCAACCATCTGGATTTTGTCCTGGTTTCTTAAGAAGGCAATGTTTATGTGCAAGGGTGTTCTGTGTGTTTTTTCCTACTGTCTAACAAACTTTGTTTGCCAGTTTCAGTCAAACCTGACAGAGCAGATACAGCTCTTGTGGACATAGCACGGCTACAGACTTGATGGAAACAGCCAACTGTGTGGCGGAGGGGTTCTGGTAGTGTCTCCCCTAAGAGGAGAGTTGCAGAGTGAGTTTACCCCTCTGTCTAAAGACAAACGTTATAAATGACCTGCTACAAGGGAGTTTCACACTTAATTAGACACAGAGAATCCAGCCACAAGATAAAAAACACATAGGAAACCAGCTTGCTCTAATTTCAGTTGCTCACTGATACACCTGTGTTCGAATGAAACCAGTTTGAAATAGCATGATCCTTTACAAAGTGTTCTCCCTGCGCAATAACTGTATCATAATTCAATTAGGTACTTACTACAGTTCAGTAAGTCTGCGTGTAGACATAGTCACACTCACCTTTCACTCATAATACAATGGTGTAGTAATTCTTTTACTCTAGAGTTTAGCTTGAAAGCCTCTGACTGGCTTGTCTTCTCCCAACACAAATATCTATGACACAGATTGAATCACTGTGGCCTTGGAAGGTAACCAATGATAATATTTAATAAATAAGAAATTGTATACTTGGAGAGATGGACTAGATTTTATAGTTCCCAGGGTAAAAAGGTCTTGCATTAGTGTTAGACTCAAGAAAAATGAGACTTTGCATACTGGATGCCAATATTTCTTGTAGCATTTTAAAACCTGTTTATGCAGGGCAGCAACCTTTGCATTCCTTGATGTCTTAGTACCAGTTATGTAGTTGTCTCTGCGTTGTTTCCTCTTATGCAAACATATGATAACATTATCAATATTTAAAAATAGACTTCATTCTGGTATCTGGAACACCAGTATTTAAGGTTTCATGCTGAATTGTCCTGGGATGGTAATAAACATTAAATAGAGAAAAAAACAGAAAAAAGTGCCATTTCAGAAGATACAGAAGGGAAAAAGGGATCAATGAGACACATCCTATTTGGGATTCTGGCATTGATATAGAAATAAAATGTGGAACCTAAGAATGCTCAACTTTATATGAGGACATTGCTATAACAAAAATATCAATATGCAGGAAAGATTGAGTAGGCCATGCCAGTGGCATAGTAGTGCAGTCTGTTAAAGAAAACTTGGAGTAAATTCAGATTAACGAATGAATCATTTCAGTGAGTGAGGCAGAATTCCTATGCATTTCAAGTGTATAACTACACTATCAGACACATATTACTAATCAACAAGCCAGAAGATGAGCTTTGACTGGTATGTTGAAGGAGTCATAAACATTGCAAGAACAAAAAATGGCTACGTAAACTGGACAAATGTGCCGCTCAGATTAACTCATTTAGAAGCAGTGACTGCTTGATAATTCAACAGATTAGAGAATCCACAAAGAGAGAATTAACCCTTGATTTCATTCTGAATAGCATACAGAATCTGTT